GGATCTTTATCACCAATCGCCTATGTTGTCTGCGGCTCCTGTGCTATGAATCTGAGCTGGTGTGTGAGCTTAGCGCACTTCAGCGTGATGGTTTGTTTGAGCAGTGGGGTCGTATTAGACGACCGGTGCACTCCGCAGCGAGGATTGATTGGATATCTATTATTAGCTTACTACACAACATTTGGACGCAAAAGCGCATTCCTTCGTCTTGGGGTGATAGTTCTCATTTCCGAGTAGGGATCTCACAACGACTGCGAAATCCACCGCCGGATAGGTTTGGTACTAGTCCTCACCAAATATTTAGCTTCTGTCATACTTCAACATAAATCGGCACATCCGTAAACAGCAAATCGGATTCAGGGGGATGTATTGATCAGTTTTTCCTTGCTCATTAAACTGCGTCACACCCATCATCGACTACCGACTTCAGTGTTCCTTGATCTGAAAGCAGCCTTCGACCTGGTTGACCACGAAACTCTGATGGGTTCCCCTCTTCGAAAAAGAATATCCCAGAAGCAGGTCAACTTACTGAAGTCGGTGTACTCACATACCTCTGGTTGGGTGAGAGTCTGTGAGGCAATATGTAGGCCGATCATCACCAGCAGCAATGTTCTTCAGTGGTACCCTATTTGGTGATTCCTGTCCAATTACGTGGTAGATGATATACTTGAGAAAGCACTAGGTGATCCCAAAAATGTTTGTATTCAATGGGCAGCGGGAGAAAAGCTTTGTGATCTACACTGACGGCACTGTCTATCTGTTTGAATGTATGGAGGATGTTTAAAGCGCATTCAATCGAATGAAAAATGCTGTTTTGGCAGTTTCCATCGAAGTGGTGCTGCAATGCTAGGTGTCACGCGCTTCCGCTTTGAAACTAAATGGTCAGGAATTAGTTATAGTCGATTGCTCTTCATACTTGTGTGACAAATGACGATAGCATAGTAAGGGAGATAACTGTCAGTCTTTCCAAGGCCCAAACAGCGTACTCAGGACTGGCGTGGATATGACGTTTCACTGAAGTTAAGAGGTCTTGTACATTCCTTCCAGTTCCTCTTTGTGGTTGTGAGATTTTGAATTTGTAAGTAGAAGGTATCCATTGGCTCGAAGTTTTTTCGACTGTCGATGTTTATGTAGTCCAGCCTACGTGGGATGGGGCGAACGGGTTAGTAATCTAGAGGTTAGCCGTCGTGTGTTCGGGAGTTTATCAGGGATAAACTTGGTAGTTCAGTGAATTCAGGTTAGTAGGCTTCGCTGGATACGGCACGTACTACGTATGCCCAGCTGTTGTCTGCCGCACCGCACTTTTTTCGCTATAAGCACGCCGGGATGGAGCAATCCCCGTGGAGGTCAACAGTTGACGTGAAAACGAGGCATGAAGTAATACAAAAAGCGATTCGATAGAGCAGGCATCTCGCGCCTTCCGGCTTCGGACCCGAAATGTTCTGCAACTGGTTGGTTAGAGACATTGAGGGATATGGCAGCGAATCGACAGCAGTGTCGCTCTCGTCATTCGTTATCATTCCAGAATGCTCGAAACGCTACGTATGCATAGTTAGATTGTGTACTCTATGTTGACCATAGGGATTCACCTTCTTGACCCTTGCTAAAAGTAGGTCCAATCCCTGTCCATATTGCATATTAACAATAACTTTGTATGCCTTGCGAGTTTGATGGAGATCTTTGAAGTTCGCTGCAATGTGTGCTGTACGATGATGATGTCCAGAAAGCCTATGATCTGATAAACTAGACACCAGTTGGATTGCGGTTGTGATATGCTCCCACGCTACCCGTGGAAAGACTCTAGTTGTGAATACCGCAAGAAAATTGACGTGCTTTTGCCTGGGGTAACTTGACAGTATCTCGCACAGTCACAAATATATATATATATATATATATATATATATATATATATATATATATANCTATACGTAACTCTTCATTGTAGAATTTGATTCAGAAAAAAATTCTTGTATCATCAATTCAAATTCATCCCCCTGTGAAATAACTGACAAATGATGTCCTTTTTACACTCACCTGTTCTGCTTGTTATGTGAATGACTGTAGCGAAGTCTTTTGTTTTGTTTTAAATTCCGTTCCGTTTGTCGGAATAATTTCCTCATCAACTAGGTTGATGAATTCATTGCAGCTCGTTGCAATCGTCTTTTGTAACATGTTACGCAGTTGTTGTTCGTACGAACTTTTCTGATTTCATTTTAACTCTGTTGATAGGCCTGCTAGTGATTGAGATGAAACTGATTGTACACTTGCGAAATTTACGTATACAATCGATCTGATTTTAGTTCTCCCTTTTTGATGTACACAGAACCCCGGTTTCGGCCAGGTGTACTGACTCGCAAATAGATATGCCAGAAACATTACGTCACCGTCGAAAATCAAGCTCGCCCCAACGACGCACTATTCCTGTCCGTTCGATGCCGTCCACACATTCTACCGGAATTAAACAATCTCCGATTGTTCCGATTGTTTCCCCCGGCCCATGGTCGAAGTTGCCTAACCGTCGCCGTTTGTTTACTGCGGATACTCCGCCGTCATCTGAAGATATTGAGATAATTGGAGTCACTAACTCTGCTGTGATCGTCCCGGACACAGAGTCTGATGAACATGGACAACCCCCAATTCTCACTCTTGTGCTTGAAACGGAACCGGAGACAGGTGATCCTAGCCCACTTGTGCCAGATAGTGAAGCCCTAATGATTGCAGATACCCAGGAGCCGGAACCGTGTGTTGGGTCCGCACCGGATCATGAGGAACAGGCAGCTCAGACCGCCACCCAAGGTGATATCGCAACAAGCTCCGAATGCTCAGTAATCGAAAGCAGTCAAGAGAATGAACAATGCCGTCCTATAGAAGAAGACGCAAAATCACCTTTGCCGCAAACTGATAATCTAGCCGTCAAAACTGATCTCAGAGAAGCTCCTCTCGCGACGCAACCATGTGTCCTCATGGAAGAAGTGAGCGTTTTGTCTTCATGTTTCGTACTTATGATGGAGGCTACTTTCATACAACATGATGAGTGGTTAGATAATCGGGAATTTTATGTAAACGTTGATCTCAATTATATGTTCTGGGCATCGAGGTGTATTGGTCGCCTTGGCCGTTCGATCCCGTCCGAAGGGCGCGTGATCCGATGAACTGGATACTGCCCCCGCCCCCCCC